TGAACATAACTTGACTTGAGTCCTTGGTAGAGGTTGGGTTGGAATCCTGATGCCTTGTGTCCAAGGACTCAGCTAGATTGAAAAGAAAAAGCAATTTATATGTGTTGTCCCGTCCCCCCCCACCTGTTTTCCTTGTTTTAATTTACAATGCATTTAACTGAAACGCTTATTTGATGTGTCAAGATCCAGCCCAGGTCTTAACACCTCAGTCACTAAATATCAAAATTAATTTGAAATAAGAAAAGAAGAAATGTAATTTCATATTGCATTATGCTACTCAGTTATCTTTTGATTTTTCAAATGTTGTCCTAACTAACAGAGCGTTCCTAAGGGAGGGGTGATAAAAGACAAACTGATTACTGCTTGATATCTTCTGTCATCATATCTTTGATTATAACAACCTCTTCTGTGCTGCTGAAGTGTTGTTTTGTTAATCAGTAGCTATATAGCATTGTGCTTTTCAAACCACTATGCACGGGTGCTTTCAACAAACAGATTTCCCTCCTATGTACATTATTCTCAAGAATAAGTGTTATAAACATGGTTATCCCACCATATATCCCTCTGAGAGTGCCATATGTAACACACTTAACACACTGGCACTCATGTGCACATATACAGGTAGGAACCCCCCAAGAGTATTTATATTGTTATGTTGAAAGAGTTTAATGTAGGGATAGCTAACCTATGTAAAAAAAAATGACTTTATTTCCTATCAACGCCAGTCAGCATGGCCAATTATCAAGGATTATGAGATTGTATTCCAGCAACATGTGGAGGGCCACTGGTTACCCCTGCCTCCTCCCCCACTGCCTTTATCAGATGGAGGATAAGTACATATATTGCTTCATTTGTGTGCACAAATCACATTTTTTTTTTAAAAAAGTATTCTAGAATTGTTCAAACAATACCAATAGTTAAATGAGATGCTATTGTAAACACTTCAAAACAACAGCTCCCAGTGCACATATAATTCCAACCTGCCAATGTGAACTTTTGTAGGGGAAAATGGTGCATAAATATTGTAAATAAATTTTAAGGCTATATAGGTCAAACACACACACACACACACACACACACAGAGAGAGAGAGAGAGAGAGAGAGAGAGAGATTCAAGGAAAAAGAATAGTATCTGGTAATCCACCATATATTATTTCTCACTGACCTCCTGAAATAACAGATTTTTTAAAATGTGTAGCCTAGCTTTCCTTCCAAGGAGGTCAAGTTAGTGTACGTAATAGCCCCATTTTATTCTCACAACAACCCTGTGAGGTAGGTTAGGTTGAGATTTGATGGCTGCCCCAAGGTTACCCAGGGAACTTCATGGCTGAGTGGGGATTTGAATCTGAGCCACTCCAAGGGCTGGAAAATGTATTGATACGTCGTCCAAAATTGGTTTTAAGTCCACATTGTGATAACGGTTTCATAATATTTGACATGGCGATATATCACAAATCACAATGTGTGTGTGTGTGTGTGTGCTCTATGTAAAAAATTGTGATATGGGAAAAACTGTGAGGCCAGTCATCACTTCTCTTATGATATTTGCTGCCCCATTGCTCTGTACTATAAAATAACAGTTGTAACAATTCGTTAAAGGTTTTTTCTTAAATTGTATCAGTTATAGATGCCTGAGTAGTAGTGGTTGCCAGCACATTACCCCATTCACATTCTGATTTCAGACATGGTGATATTTTGGTATGATGTTTAGCTGGTGATATATTGCAATATTGAAAACCAGTCCTAATCCAACATTTTAACATCCAGTAAACATCACATCCAGATTTTCTGACATTTACTGGAAACATAGGTGTCCTTCATCTGTATGTCTATGTCTGCTAATTTCTGTTGCAGCTCTGTGGTGCAAACAGCAAGTTGCTTATTTGTCGCAGATCTCTCTCTCTCTCTCTCTCTGTCTGTCTCTCTCCTTTAATCTCAGCAGCTATTTTGCTCCTTGCACACATGAAGGATTTGTAGCCTTCTGAAAAGAAAGGTTCAGACTGAAATGCTCTGCTGCATTGTGAGAGCTGGTCTGGTTTAAACAGATAAGGAGATAAATGAACCACAAGAGGCTAAATGCCAAGGCAAAGCAAAAGGAGCTTATCCTTTACAGTGGAGTTTAGGAAGCGAACAGCGGCATATCAGTAAGGGAGGAAATTTATGCCAGGGAACAGCTGCCACTCCCCAGATTAGACTACTTGATCAAAACTAGAAGAAGATTTCATTGGATTGCCCCAATTAAGCTATTACACATGTTCCATTGTTCTAGGCACTGAGTGGTGGAGAAGAGATTTGGGATACAGGCAGGAGGGCATAATGTTTTGCAGAAGAAATTAATGCATGTTTGTAAAGTAGAAAACACAGAAACTGGGATTGTGCATGATGGAAATAGAGCTGTGAGCCAAAAGGTACTCGGTTCAATGGGAACATATTCCCCAGCTAAGCATGCAGCCTCCATTTTGTAAAATAAGATCAATTCAATGCCAGGAAAAGCCTATTATACAGCATTAATAGGGAGATACGTGTTCTCCTAGCCGTGTGACTTATAGTGAGGGTGATATTTGATGTGACCTTGAACAGAGAATGGTGGGCAGAGATTTTGTTGGTTCACCATTGATGTGGGTTTCTGTTTCCTGGTTTTTCCTAACCATTGATATGTTGTAATATACACAAATGTGGGACAGTTAGTCAGTGGCTGCTGGTTTCATTTTTCAAACCTCTCAACTTCTTCCCAGGCTGAAGACTCGGGCTGCTTTCAAGGGAAGCAAGGCTAAGCCCTTATATGGGGACTTAGGGGGTAGGTAGGCAGTTACTGAAGGTTTTTTAGGCTGAGGTATGTGGCAGAGCTTCATGCTCCGGCACCGGAGGGCGGAGAGCAGGCAGGGTGTGGCCTGAAGTGAATGCTCCATCTACAACTGTCTTCATGTGGAAGGCAACAGCTGGGAGACAAGACAAGCCTCCCTAACCTACACTTTCTGAAACAATATGAGAACTGAAACACAGCCATACTTTGAAATGTGCAATTCTCCAAAATTTGCACTTCTTCAGCCACAAGTAGTGTACAGAATGTATATATTATTTATGATCGTTGTTAATGATTGAATCCATACCCTGTCCTTCCTCCCCAAGGAGCCCTTTGCTAGGACAAAGTGTGTGTGAAAATACATATATTAGTAAAAAAAAAAAAAGGGTATACAAAAATGGTTTGTTTTATACGGAATTGTTTTGCAAACTTGTGTATAGTAGGCACAATTGCATAGAAACATTAGGAGAAAGTCACATTAAAATACAGATGAATTTTCAAAACAACTTTAAAAAATGCACCCTGATGTAGAAGTGTGGGGAACTGAAGTTAAGATTGGAAAAATGAGACACTGAGAGTAACCACAATTGACAGATTTATCCATATATAGTTCCTACATATATTTAAACAGGATGGGGAGTGGGGAGCTGAAATTCTAAATCAAGTTTTTATCTGTGTAGCAATCTGATACATATTTTGTCATTACTTTTTGGCTTATATTCTTTTTTTATTCTGTTGTGCTTAAGAGAAAGAATGAGTTGGAATGAGTCAGGCACCAGTGAACTTTCTCCAAAACTCACACAGAACAACATATAGCAGAGCTCAGTAATGTTTCTGGGTAAACCAACCGTCACAAAAATTAAAGCGTACAATTGTTTGAACTGTCTTAAAAGATACAAATCTTATTTCACATTCTCCCCTTCTTTTCAGAGTATGATGGCCATGCACAACAGGCTGCTTTCTGTGTAAAAAGCTATGTTTTCATGTGAAATGTCTTATCTGAGAACCGTTGGTGACAGATTGGGACTCCATGACCCTCCTCCAAATTACTAATCTATCTAATTTATGTGGACTAGGCAAGCCTTTAATCAGAAAGTTGAGGTTTAGATTTTCCAGGTTCCATACTATCACAAATGCTGTCCTTGAACATGAGAAATTTCAGCGAAGTTTTCAGTGCTTTGAAACCAAATGTTTGGTTTCAGAAACCAGCCCTTAAAGCAGCTAACACTGGACTACTACTTTTATAAATGACTTAATAAATGTTTTGTATTATTACATTGCTCAGCTCCAATCACCTCATAGGGGACATGTTCTTTATGGACAGTGTGTGTGTGTGTGTGTGTGTGTGTGTGTGTGTGTAGTGGGGGGGTTTACTTGCAACTGCTGTTAGTTGGAAGACAGAAAGTGGTGGTGGACACACAGTGATTCTTGAGCAAAAAGTATTGGTTTGGCAGTTCCTTAGGCTCTGTCCCTGACTTTCCCTTCAGTTCAGAGCTATGTCAGAACCAATTTAGTGTGAGTTGCTGTGAGTCTTTTTGTACTTGGATGAGACTACTCTAGTATAAAATACATAAGTGGTACATCAGGTATGTATCAAACTGCTATATTCCATTCTCCTTAAAATATAGAGTGCATGTATTTTAAGGATGATGAAGGATAATAAGCATAATTCATGTGCGCATCCGCTGTGTATTTTGTACCTGGGCATTCATCTCTGATAGGAACTAATCCTCAAAAGTCCACTATACAGAGGAATACTTCAGCCATAGCCAAGACTTTGCATGTGAAGACAGTGGATCTTTATGCTGATAACAAGCTGCTCTGAAAACTCTACTAATCTTAAAAGTGGGGAACACCGAAATACCAGCACAAAACCTTACTAGGCTCCTGGAGCTAGTCATAGTGGATGGTCACTAGACAGTGTCACCTTTGTTCCTCTGAACCTGCAAGGCCCTGGGTGACTGAAAGAAACTTGCTCTTGTAGAAGCTGTGGGAGAGATTTCTTGTTTTGTTGTATAGTTTTTCACCATTTCATCATACTGAACTTTTCATAAACTTCACCTATCGGATATCTCATTAGAAACAAATGTAATCTTCAGGTGCTGGTTCTTTTTTTCTGAGAAAATCAGTTACGTCTCTTCACATGGTAATTGCAGTGATGCAATTTGTTTGTTTTCTTTCTTTCTCTTTTGCCCAGATGGAAGATGTCATAGCTCGTATGCAAGATGAGAAAAACGGGATTCTCATTCGTACAGTCAAAAGTTTTCTTTCCAAGATTCCCAGTGTCTTCTCTGGTAAGGTTCAAAATGTACCTTATGTCCTGTTGGAAATGCATTGGCTGTAACAGATATATGTGGACGATGATAGCTCAAACACCAAGATAAAACACAAAGCAAGCAAGGAAGTCCTTAGCTCCATGATTCTGGAACCATCTGTTGAGCTGTGAGCGTTGTTATGTGTATTCAATTAAATAAAATCAAGAGAAGATGGCATTGCCACCATTCAGGAGTTCCAGGGGACAGGCACAGCTTGTTGATGTAGAGCAAAGAGTCCCAGATGTGGGTGGGCAGATTAAGGACATTAATGGAGCGTCTGCACCTGACAAACTGGGAGATAAGGCCCAAGGAGGGTGTGGATCCCAAGCAGGAAAAATAAGGAGAAGACAAAGCAGAAAGTGAAGGAGTTGGAGGAAGAAAGCTTTCCCTGCTGGGCTGCTGGATATTCTTCAGCAATGGGTGCTGCCGCCGCTTTTGAACTTGAGTCAAGCTCAGCTCCTATCCACCCTTCCCTTCTGTCATTGGGGAAGTTGGGAGCATAAATGAAACTGTACCAAGAGCCCCCCCCCAATATATATATAGCAGAGGCCCCAATTGAGCTCCCCATACATTGCATGCTGTGGTAGTGCATTATCTTAACATCTGAGCATCTGAAGCGGGGTCTTTGGGAATACAGGAGCAAAAGCCTTGTACATTTTATGTGTAATGTGCTTTAAAGAAAGAGAAGTAGGGGGGACCAGAGAGGCTTGTGGATGCAAAGAAGTGAAGGGGAAGTGATGAGTTTTTATGTGCGGGTATGAACAACTGTTGAGAGGGGAAGGAGGAGTGAAATTGATTCACGTTATTTGGTTGCTTTTGTCTCTTTAACTCAAAGCATTTGAGTTAATAAAAATTGTCACTCCTTGATGCCAAGGTGTCTGGAAGAGCTAAGGCTTTGACAAGAAAATGACTTGCAAAATCAGATAAAATAAACTAATGTTTATTTTCTCCCAAGATATTTGGCGGAAGGAAAATAATCCTTTTAAGATTAAGCCTCCTCAACTGCCTGCTGTTAGATCCAATGATGGGATTCCCTCTGGGGACAAGTCCTCCAATCCTATATCTATTGGTAAAATTGATAAAAGTGTTTATATGCCCTTGAAACACAATTCTCCTGTTGTACAGATATCCCTGCGCAAATTCTTAATGACTGATAATTAAATTAGCATTCCTGACAAAAATCCTGCCTACAGCTTCTCTTCTAAATACATTTATAACTAAACCCTAATTATTCAAAGTGAAACTATGATGGAAATAATGTTTTCATTTGATGTTAATGGTACCCTAGAGTTGAATTTCCAAACCTACCCAGCTTTAGTTCTAAGTACTTTGGAACCAATTCAGAATCTACTGATGAAATGCACTTTGCATCTTTGTTTTGGTGACCTAAATTTCAATCCTACTCATTGCCCAGGTGGTTAATCTAAATGTCTAAGCAAATGTCTACTTTGTTTGCTCAGTTTCTTATAGGATTTTTGTCGTTTTTTCATGGTAGGATAGTTATACCACAGCAAGCTCAAAAAAGTAAGATCAGGGGTGGAGAATCTGGGCTCTCCTGATGTTGTTGGACTTTTAACTCCCATCAGCTCCAAACAGCATGGTCAGTGGTCAGTTGGGCATCATAGTCAATGTTTGATGTTTTATCGTGTTTTTAATATTCTGTTGGGAGCTGCCCAGAGTGGCTGGGGAAACCCAGCCAAATGGGTGGGGTATAAATAATAAAATTATTATTATGGGCATTGTTGTCAATCAACATCTGGAGAGTCACAGGGATCCTGGGGGAACATATCCCAGATTTTGCTGGTAGCAAACATGAGGGGAAATGGATCACTTTCACGTTTTTCACGACCTACCTAGGATAGAAGCTGCTTCACTTATCTCAAAATGTTTCATTTCAAGTTTGTCAATTTATTGGCAAGATGGTTATAATGGATGGAAATTACCACAGGATTTCCCTGCTAGACAGACTTCATCAGTAAACTGAGGATATGACTTCTTCATTTACTCATTAGAGAGGCTTGTTAATGTTAAAACGAATGACTGGCCGCAGTCTCATCTTGGGATCTTTCCCTTTATATCCATTGCAAAGTTAGCATCTAGGCCGTGAAGCAAACATGTCCATGGGACTGGCATTCCTTAATTCTCGAGAGCAGCTGACAGGAAAGCGGCCATTTAATACCTTAATCACATGAAACAATCAACAGAGATAATCACACTGATGAGTTTAGGTGTCTTCTTGTCTGGTGCTGATTAGAATATCAGTAATAAGAGGAGGCACTTGATTTATGCAGTCCAGGTTTCATTTTCGGAGCTGTGATTGCAGGCAGAATGGCTTGAACTAATGATAAGTGAAGGAAACCTGATATATTAATCAAAGAAATGATGTATAATAGCTTTCTATGATTGATATTGTTAGATAATGTACTGTAGAGCATTGCTTAAAAAAATATTCCAAAGCTCTTTAAATGCATGTTAGACACCATGGGCTGGATCCAGACTTGTGCCCCATCTGCAGTATACATCACAGCACTTTAAATAGTCATGGCAAAGAATTCTAGAAAATGTGGTTTTTGAGGGTGCAGAGTGGTTTAACAATTATCAATCCCCTTTCCCAGGAAACTCTGGGAATTGCAGCTCTCTTGGGGTCTTCTAACAACTCTCAGCACTACAGTTAAACTACAGTTTCCAAGATCTTTGGGGGAAGCCATGGCTGTTTAAAGTGGTATGGTAAAGGTAAAGGGACCCCTGACCATTAGGTCCAGTTGTGCCGACTCTGGGGTTGCGGCGCTCATCTCGCTTTACTGGCCGAGGGAGCCAGCGTACAGCTTCTGGGTCATGTGGCCAGCATGACTCAGCCGCTTCTGGCGAACCAGAGCAGTGCACGGAAACGCCGTTTACCTTCCTGCCGCAGTGGTACCTATTTATCTACTTGCACTGGCGTGCTTTTGAACTGCTAGGTTGGCAGGAGCAGGGACCGAGCAACGGGAGCTCACCCCTTTGCGGGGATTTAAACCGCCGACCTTCCGATCAGCAAGTCCTAGGCTCTGTGGTTTAACCCACAGCGCCACCTAAATGTTTAGTGCCATTGGGACCTTAGTGATACTTTACATCCCATTGATTACGGTGGATCTGCTCTAATCATGACCAAGCCTAGATCCAAATTAGCATAGCAAGCTGCCTGATACAAAAGCACACCATTGGTCTCTCCAACACAATGAGCTATTCAGTACCTTGACCAGCAGTGACTTTCCAGGTGTTATGAGTTTGGGGGTGCCAGACACCTATAATCCAGCAAGTGTTAGAAATTAATCAAGACCTGGAGTGTTAAACTGGGTGCCAGACACGGAACCCCTGGATTTAGCAAATGTTAAAATATAACAGGCTAGCCTCCTAATGAGGTAAATGCCTGGTGTGATGAGCCATTTAAAAAACAAAGGAAAAGTGATGTCCCATTAAGAAAGCTATGGAGAGGGGGCTCTGTGCCAAAGACAAATGGATGGGACCCCTTCTCCTGCCAGAGTTCAGAGTAGAGTTTCCTGTGATGCGACCTAAGGGGGAGGTGATAGGCTGGAAAAGGCCAAGAGAGAGAGAGAGCGCGCGCATAAGAGCACACATTGTTTGATTTCCGCTCAAATCCAAGGCTGTGGCTATGGGAGAAGCAAGATCTTCTTGGGGTTTGAATGCTGTGAGCCCCTCCATCATAGGTTCAGGTTGTATATACGTGTAAATAAACCTTATATTATAAAGACACTGCAGTCTCCACTGTGCCTCATTTTGAAAGGAAAACATAGTCCCTGGGTAAGTGCCTGGAACCCCTGGAATCTCGCACCACTCAGAGATTGGGGTGGCATGCAATACAGGGTATCAGGCGGGGATCTTATGGGGATTGAACCAGGGATTTGCTTTCAAAGCAGATGGTCTACCACCAAGCTAGGGTCCTCACCCTCACCCAATCCAATAGTTTATATATCTATTTTTCTGATGGGTTTTATATAGATATATATATTAATTTAAATGAGGTTTCACAGTTCAGCACAACGCAAAAACAAATCACCAAAGCAGGGGGAGGTGAGTGGGGAGTTATTGTGGTGTGGCTGGTCCTTCAAAGCAATCTGGATTAATTAAACCTTTGTGTTTATGATCCCATTTTGTTAAATTAAATTATGCACTCTGATTCGATTTAACCCCAGTCTTTTGTTGAGAGAAATTTCCTGGATCTTCTTACAGATGAGACAGGGGTTAATGACCATTAATGGGGGCATTTGTCAGCTGAGGGCTTTGAAGACTAGAGAGTGTAAATTTGAATTAAATGATTCAGACATATTCAATATGGATTAATTGATCTGTAATGAAGTCACATTTCCAATTAATGCAGATTCATTCCTCCTGTGCCTACACAGCCTTGGATATCGCTTCTGGAAATTATACTGTGAAAACTGTTTTTGCTAATTGAAGGGCTGAATAGAGAGACCCAGGCATGCACTGGGCCTTCCCAGGCTCCCCCTCCTGATGCCCCCCCTGTGCCCCCCCAAGCTGAGGGGGAGCTGCATATAGCAAGTTGCTTATTGGATGATCCCACTCCCACGCTTGCGGTCACAGCTGAAGCAATAACAGGGAAACCATCAAACAATTGTCAACATGGGTATATATTAGATGAAGGTTGTGAAGGAGCACAGTTGGTTTAATTCAGTCATTTGACATTCCATTTGCAAGTTTGTTGGTAGGGCAAATAACACCACGCAACACTGAGATTTGGGAGTAAATTCCAAAGGGGTCATTGCATTAGTCTGTTGCAGCAGAAACATTAAAACATTTTGGCATGAGCTGTTGTGATCTAAGAGATGCCACCTCTTAGTACCTGGAATACCTATTGTAAGAAATTTGGTGGCGTTTCAGATCTCCAGTGGTCTGTCGTACAAATATAATTCAGTAGATGGTAACAGGCTCCGATTCTGGCTTAGTCTTTGGCTTCTTATGCA